GTGGGAGAAATATACTGATTGGATTAGCATTCTATATTTCTTTGAATAGAATACCTCATGAAAACCTATAAATAAAAAATGTATCACAGCTAGGCAGGGTGGCTCAGGCCTGTAATCCTAGCACTCTGGGAGGCTGAGGCAAGAGGATCACTTGAGGTCAGGAGTTCAAGACCAACCTGAGCAAGAGTGAGACCCCTGTCTCTATTAAAAATAGAAAAAGTGAGCCAAGCAACTAAAAATAGAAACAAAAAGTTAGCCAGGAGTGGTGGCAAGTGCCTGTAGTCCCACCTACCCAGGATGCTGAGGCAGGAGGATTGCTTGAGCCCAGGAGTTTGAGGTTACTGTGAGCTGGGCTGATGCCACAGCACTCTAGCTGAGTCAACAGAGCAAAGCTTCATCTCAAAAATAAAAAATTTAAAAAAATAAAAATAAAAAATGTATCACGTTTTTGTTTGCTCTGGCTTTTTATTTTGTTGGTAGTTGGTTTTGCAGAAATGTACTTGTTGAACCAGTTGCTGAACAGTTTTTCTCTTTCACATTTGCCAAATTAGACAGTAATAATTTCAAATGAATCTAATAGCTGTGTTTTTATACAAAGTAAAATCAGTAGTTGTAAATTCAAAATATTACAAAGACCAGCAGGTAATTGTGTGAATCAAACCTAATATAAGACTACAGGGAGAGGTTGTGCTGGTGGTCAAATTGGAGAATATAGGACACACCTACAGGCTTTCAAATTCAAAATTTTTGAGAAAATTGGGCTGGTCAAATAAAATGTATCTTTTGGCTGAGTTGACCCACAACTAAGATTATGGATTACTTGTAAGGTTCCTTGTTCAAAGATATTTAAAACTTTTAGGGACAAAAATGATAAAATTGACAATGATTCTAGGGATTTCAAGAATTTAATTTTTCTGTTGCTTAAAATAGATGAAGATATTTTTCTCTGACTGATGATTGACAAGTCTAAAAAGATGAAATCATTTTGGATATAGGCTTAGCTATTAATAGCCAATAGTTGTATTTACCCTCCTCAAACAAAGTTGGTATCTGGCAATGTTTTTTAGTCCTGATTAATGTTGCTACATTGATTCAACTTGTGAACAAGGGTGATATTTGGGATATGGAGCATGGTTTTTAAAACGTTAAAGCATTTATAAAAGGAAGCCCTATATTGATTGACCTTTCTATCACATTATTAACTTGACTATACTATTTTTTAATGTGGCACACACTTGGAATGTTACTAAAATGAACCTATAAGATAAAGGAAATTTGGGACCTACTTATAGCAAATGTATCTTTTTTCTGAGGAATATTAACTTGAAGGTTTTACATTAATGTTCAAGAAAAAAATACATAAGTAGATTCCCAAATTGGTAAAGGTTGCTTCACATTCACTTCAGGCAACATGAGTTAGTAAAGCAAACAGAGGTTGATGAGTACAGTGAAATGGTCCAGAGACTTTTGCAGAATTACTGAGAAATATTTCTAATATAACAAGATAGAATTACAACTAAAACAACTAAATAAAGGAGACAAGATAATTTTGGGGAAACCACTAGTTTCATTTCTTAATGCCCAAGAGATTATCCATTCTAGTTTTGTGAGAAACAACAAATAAGTAATCAAGTAGACATAATTTTTTAAAGACCAAACTTTGTGACACATATGAGATTCATTTTACATTTGCAGATATTATACATAGTGAATCATACAAAATTAGTTATGATTGAGAATGTTGTGTATGTTGTTCTTTTTCTTGACAATCAGTTACCTACTTTGGAGATCTAAATCATCTCCTGGTTATAAAGAGCTGTCATTAACCAGACATCTTTCCCCTCTTTCTGAAGAAATATTTGGGTATTTTTTTATACAGTATTTAATAAGCACCATATTTGTTATTATTTTTGATAAAACTACCCCAAACATCACTGTTGACACACTACATTCCCTCTACTGACAAAGCTATATATTGTGGTAGAAAAATATCGAAAAGAAACATGATAGTTAATATCTATTGAGAAGAGTAATTTGTAGTATGAATATTTGTGAAGGTGAATTTTGAAGGTGAATTTTCAACCAAAGGAGTTAACTTTTGTTTCAGGATGCATAACAATAAATGAAAATATTAAAAGATCTGGCTCAATTAAGATCTGAAATATATATATGAAACACATAAGCATATTATATACCAATATCATATAATTTTCATATTAATAGTATTTGATATTAAAATTTATATTTATGAAGTTTAATATAATAAGTTAATTTCCCAAATATAAATTAGTTCTTGACCATAGAATATTATTGATAAGAGACTGATGAAAAAAGCAAGCTTCAACCATAAAAGTCTGTCTAGCGATTAGCCGACAATATAAAGCAGTGAGAGGCTGACGTTCTTTTGTGAGAATACTGTGAGATGTAACTGATAAATTAGTTTCTCTGCCACAGTAGGTTGTTGCACATAATTATCCTTAGACCTCATCAGACCCAAGAGAGAGGCCTGACACACCATAGGAAATTAGGTTCTGTGTGCTTAATGTCCCATCACAGCATGGAAAAGCAAGAAGCTTTGTAAACTGTGATTATATTAAGGATTTTCTTTTTTAAAATGCTTTTCTACCATTAGAATTCTGAAAAGTATAGTCAAAAAGTCATACATAATCTCACTTAGATAGCATACCTTTGTCTGGGATTCACATTGGCTTCTATGTTATCAAATACTCTAAAATACTAACTCCTAGGAAGTCAGCAGATATTAAAACACATTTTTGGTATTAATCATCAGTAATATAAAAGGGGAAAGGTCAGTGGGCATGCACTGATTAAAGTTGATCATTTCATAATCCCCCCCCAAAAAAAACATGTACTACTCCAGAGGATAAGCCTTAAAGAAGCATTAGCAAATCAGTGTTTTACCCCAACTATTATTGTGAATGAATTTATGATTTCATCTGCAATTTATCTATATTAGGGAAAATGCAGGATGCCAGGGGTTATAATCTATGATTGTGTAGTAAAACACATGGAAGATTCTGATTGTAGCAAATATTGCTTGCATTATTCTTTAGTATCAAATGAAATAAGGCTCTGTACCTTCTATATCAATACTGGGACATTCAGATAGTGAAAAGGAAGTGAGGAGATTATTTTATTAGCCTTACCAAAGGTGACTGCTTTTATCATCTATTTCTAATTGACTTTCTAATGCAAATAACTGCTATAGCTCATTTGTTCTGTGTTGAGTCTAAATCCTTATGGGGAAACCTTATGTGCTCTTAAGGGGATTTTTCCCCCCTAGGACTCTTAAAGAATGCTTTGTCCTTCCCACCTGTGATTTTTGCTATAGTGAATACAGGAATAAGACAGTCCCCATGTTCAGTCTGTGGTCTATCAGAAGTGAAAGTGGGCAGTAGAGGGTAAAAGCAAACACAGTGCATGGCAATGTAACAAATGCTCTCAGTAATGAAGACACCTACGAGGTAGCACTGGAACACAGTTCTTTCCAGAGAACCTGTACAAAAGCCTATTATCTAAGTATCACCAAGATGTTGCTACTGGTACCAACCATAAAATAACATGTGTTGGCCGGGCGCTGTGGCTCACGCCTGTAATCCTAGCTCTTGGGAGGCCGAGGCGGGCGGATTGCTCAAGGTCAGGAGTTCAAAACCAGCCTGAGCAAGAGCGAGACACCGTCTCTACTATAAACAGAAAGAAATTAATTGGCCAACTGATATATATATATAAAAAATTAGCCGGGCATAGTGGCGCATGCCTGTAGTCCCAGCTACTCGGGAGGCTGAGGCAGAAGGATCACTCGAGCCCAGGAGTTTGAGGTTGCTGTGAGCTAAGCTGACGCCACGGCACTCACTCTAGCCTGGACAACAAAGTGAGACTCTGTCTCAAAAAAAAAAAAAAAAAACATGTGTTTATAGTTATTTTAATTGCCAAACTATATAGATAATTGATCTAAGAAAGGGTGTTCCATCTGTTGCTGTAATTTCATTAGTTTTGCCTTTCATTAAAAAAAAAAAAAGTAATCAGGCCGCATGTACATCAAGGATAACTTTTGAATAACACATTCATTAAAAATAAACATATCAGACCGGGTATGGTGGCTCATGCCTGTAATCTCAGCACTTTGGGAGGCCGAAGCTGGAGGATTGCTTGAGGCTAAGAGTTCGAGACCAGCCTGAGCAACGAGACACCCTCTACAAAAAGTAGAAAAATTAGCTGGGTGTAGTGGTACACATGTAGTCCCAGCTACTAGGGAGACTGAGGCAGGAGGATCGCTTGCACCTAGGAGTTTGAGGTTGCAGTGACCTATGATAACACCATTGCACAAGATGGCAAGTGATAGAAAAGTAGATCATGAAATAAGAAAACTAAAAAGCATGTTAAATTTTGTTTAGACAAAGATTTTTAAATCCTGATTCTGGTTGACCAAATGGGTATCGTCTGCATATGAAAGCTAGTGACCAGGAAACTGCAAACTTTTACTGAATGAAACCTTCCACAATTTATGAAAAGCCCAATGTTGTATATAACTCATCCAAATTAAATGGTCCTTAGACACTGATCTTTGGGAAGGATGTGAGAGAATTACATAGATTCAGACTCAGGGCTTAAAGATTATTGAAAACTAGGAAGTTACTAAGAGATTATTGGGCCTCATCAGAGCAGACTTAAGTAACCTGGTCAATCCTAGAACTGTTCCAGCAAAACCATTATGCTCAGGGTCAGACCAGAATATTGTTGGTCTCGAAGGGTGGGATAAATGAAGCAACATCAAACCAGTTATATTCCTTGAATTTTCAAGTAACACAGCTTTAGAAAAAATAATCCCAATACCACAAGTTTAAACTTATCCTGTTAGTTCTAACATTTTTAAAAAAATTCTAAAACACTAAAACAATGCTTAACCTAATATAGCATTCTATTGCCCCCCAAATAGGATTTCATATTTTAAATGGCGTACCAAAAAATACATCTTATAATCTTGAGGTAAACTTCTTTATTTTGTTATACAACCAAAAATCTTAAATCTTAGTACATTACCATTTTAACAAGTCACCTTTTAGTCTTTATGTGCAGTTTTCACATAGTTTTACTCAATATTTTAAAAATGTAGTTAACATTGTAGACATTTTAATATTGTTGCATATCCTTTGTTATCTTATTTGGTATAATATAATCATGTTCAGAGCTATTTTTGCCTATTTACAGTGACTTCAAGTGAACAGACCCACTCCCTCCTTCCCCCACCCTCAATCTAAAATAAAAAAGAAAACAAAGAAATAAAAAGACAACAAGAAATGACATTAGGTTCTAGGAGGGAAACCCTAACCATTCAAGTGTAGGGTTGCAGAAGTTAGCTTTTTGCACCCATTCTTCATGCTACAACAATAAACTTTTTGAAACTAAAGCCAAGTACATTCTAAAACCTTTCAAGAAGCTCCAGTGGATTTCTGGATTTGTTCCTTTAAAATGAGGATACTCTGCCTTTGCTCAGGAGGCAGCATGGCAATCTGATCTGCAGTCAGCTGAAGAACTTGCATGATCAAAGCTGCCTTTTCTTGATCCTGTGGAGTTACCTGGCTCTGTCCAGGACTAAAACTGCTAGGCTGGCCTCCGCCTTGCTTGCTTGCCCCCTGCATGCCCACTCCTTGTATGCCTGCCCCCTGCATTCCTCCTCCTCCTTGTATGCCTGCCCCTTGCATTCCTCCTCCTTGTATGCCTGCCCCCTGCATTCCTCCTCCTTGTATGCCTGCCCCCTGCATTCCTCCTCCTTGTATGCCTGCCCCCTGCATGCCAGCTCCAGGATTCCCCACCCCTGAAATGCTTGGGACCTGTCTGGGTCCCTGAGGACCACCTGCCCCTATATTAATGGGACCAGGACCCTGGATTCCACCAGTCATAGGGCCTCTCGAACTGGGGCCAGGGCCCCTCATCTCCAGTCCTCTTGCATCCATGCCTCTTGCTTCCATCGCTCTGGTTTCCATCGCACAGGTCTCCATTCCTCTTCTCTCCATTACTCGTGCTTCTAAGACCTCAGTTTCCATGGCTCGAGTCTCCATCCCTCGAGAATCTCTATTACCTCTACCATCCATAGGTAGACCTCTTTGATCTATCATGGGTCCTCTGGGCTCTCCAATTAGCATTCTGGGATCTGCCAATGGCCCTCCCCTCATCTCATGAGATGAAGGGCCTCGGCTGTCATGACCAGAAGCATGGTGCATGGGAGGACCCTGATGGGGTGGGCCAAGATAACCTCTGGGCTCTACTTCTCCAGTGACTGAAAGCAAAGTCCCTCCACGTGGGTCATTTGGAGCATCTCCTAACAGTCCTCGAGGAGGCAGGCCACCAGCAGTCATGGGTCCACGAGGTATAGGAGCTCTAGGATCTGACATCTGCACTTGTCCCCGCTCTAAAGGCACGGGGCCAACCCCTGGAATTCCAACTTGAGGCTGCATTGCTCCTCCAGGAGTTAAAGAACCAGGCCCAGGTCCAGGTCCAGGAACTGCAGCTGGCATTGGCCCCGGAGCTGGCATTCCACCCTGGATGGGAGTCTGCATCAGAGGAGGAATGTCCTTCACAGGTCTTCTAGCCAAATGCTGAGGCTGAGGGGCTGGAGGATTTTGCTGGTTCAGCAAAACATTAGGTCCTGGGCAGAGCCCAGGGCCAGGGCCAGGGCCAGGGCCAGGGCCAGGGCCAGGGCCAGAGACAGAGACAGACTGAGCTTTGCCTGGGATCAGTGGTGTGACATGTATCTTGCGATGCAGAATTTTCAGAGCAATCTCTGGATCCATGATTCTCATCACTACTTGTGCCTGCAACAGCGCATAAGCCAGCTGAGGGTTTTGAAGTAACATGTTTCGAGCTTCCTGGTGACTGTTTTGAACACAGAGCTTCATCTGCTTCATCAGTTCAAACATTTGCTCCGGGGGAAGACTGGCGACTGCCCTGGTAATCGATTCAGGAGCATCTTCTGGATCGATGGGGTCCCCATAGGGTGAGTCAATGATGGGCGCTGCAGGCCCTAGACTCTTTAACTCCTCCTTATTCTTTTCACTGGCAGCATTGTCCACCCGAAGGGCTCTCCCGCTGAACTCCCGCCCATTGAGGTTCCGCATGGCACTAAGCGCGGTCTCCTGGTCTTGATACTCGCAGAAGCCATAACCCTTGGGTTTTCCCGTCTCTCTATCGTATACCAGCCGGAAACTGACAACAGAACCAACCTCCGAAAAAATGTCCTTTAACTGCTCCTCAGTTGCCTCATACGGAATGTTCCCCACGAACACGGAACGCAGTGATCGATCCATTGCCGGGTCTCTCACCGCCAAACTCGACATGATTCCGGTTGTGCCCACAGCCGATAGCGGATTCTTCTCAGAGTCTGTCCTCTTGCGACCCACACTTCCGCTGAGCAACGGAAGCGGCTCACAAAATCCGGGCAGAAACCTCACTGATACGCTTCAATTGTTCCGCCTGCCTGCGGAACCTGCATCCCATTAAGTAATTTAGCTAATGCTGCCAGCCTCCGATCCTTCGTGGTTCTGTCAGTTCGTTATTACTGAGACATATGCTTCCTTTCCCCCGTCTTACTCTGAAGATTTTCCTTAGCGCCCCGCCACAATAGGTTTGTGGCGACTTGACCACAGAAAAGATGGCCGCATAGACTTCACCATGGCAACTGGGAGAGGACGCCTTTTTTGACGTCACGGGCGGTTTTGCTTCCGTTCCGCCAGCGGGAAACCGCCAACCGAAAGCTGATTTAAGGCGGCGTGTTTTTCGTACTGAAAAAGCGTTTTCATATGGCCGTTTCTCTTCATTATAGCATATTTAATATTTAAAATTACATTCCTGGCTGTGAGGCAAAACTATAGTCGTTTCAAAGCAGATTTCAGATTTGCCCCTTAATATATAAAAGTAATGTCTCCTTTTAGAAAAACAGTTTCAAAAAATAACTGCCTAAAAACAAACTGAAGCGTGTGCCCGCTGACCCGCCCCCACCCCCTTGCTCCCTATAACCGCTCCTGCTCGCTGGCCAATCCTTCTCGGTTTTTCTCTGCACACAGGCAGGAGTTGTGCTCTTCGTGATACTACAATTTTATTCTTTAATAATATTAACCGATTTAATATTAGTGATTAATAATAAATACCGTTTTATGGATCAGAATATGGCTTAAATTCATTTAACCCTTCTAATATTGCAAGCATTTGGATTTTGGTTCTGATTTTTATGCTAAAATGTGATACAAGGAATTCACCATCTCTAATACGAAGGGGAAAACAAATTGTGTATTTTTTTTTCTCTTCTGTTAGTTTTGCAGGCAGAAGTTGAAACATATTGAGTGTGGGTTTCCCCTGCCCCCCATTTGAAAGTAGAGCTGAAGCTTGGAGAGAACAGGTTAAAGTGCCCAAGGCCAAGCAACGTGAAAGGCAAAGCCAGGATTCTTACCTAGGTTGGTCTGAGGTAGCCACTAGCCACGTGTACTGGGTGCTTGAAATATAGCTAGTGCGATTGAGAAATTTTAAATTTTATTTATTTTTTATTAATTTAAATATAAAAGCTGATATTTGGTATTGGAAAAATTTTTCAATATTTGAAACAAATTAGGTATGGAATCTACTCTTGCAATAATAAACTTCATTAATTCTAAATAAAGATCAAGTATTTCCAGTTAAAATTTAACATTCTAATTGAGGTGTGCTATGCATGTAAAATATATGCAAGATTTTGATGATTAAGCACAAAAAAGTAAAAGTAGCTCATCAACTTTATATTGTTTACCTGCTAAATAAAATTTTTTGATATACTGGATTAAATAAAATGTATTTTGACATTAACATCACTTGTTTCATTTTACATTTTTTAATGTGGATGTTAGAAAATTTGAAATTACATATATAAAGTATTTTATATGTCTGTAGACTATACTGCTCCAAAGCATTTGTATTAACTCTTAAATAGGGGATTATTTTATTCTAAAATATGCCTTTTGAGGGGATCATGAAACTTTGTTTCAGCAAAAAATTGTATTATGTATCTTGAGTATCCTAGTCCAATGAATAGATTTGAGATTAGTGTAACAGTTATGTACACATAAGATAAAATGTCCATTTACCTTGAAAAATTTTAATAATTCTTTAAAACTGTCTTGGGCATAGCTATTCACTCAAGACATATGCCAATTTATATCTGCAAGTGATAAGGTATTTATAACACCTAATAAAATCTTCCTGCTACATCCAAGAAATAGAATAGCCACCTACTAGTAATATCTTCTCTCCAACCCTCCCATCCTGCCCAGTTCTTTTATTAGGGTCAAGGGTGAAGGGAGTTGCAGCTAGTACCATTTCAGGAAACAAAAAACAAACCCAAGGACAACTTAGACATTGAGTATGTGTGTAATTGTGTGTATTAAATATAGTAATCATGAGGATGATAATAGGCTATTAGAATAAATTATAAAATTCATAGAACAGCTTTTCTGACAGAGTTTCTTTATTGCTACTGCTGATAATGTCTAAACCAGTGCTGTTTATTCTTTAGCATGCATCAGATCTAGATCCACAGTGTGCTTAGTCAGATTCTGATTTTGTAGGCCTGGAGAATTGTCATTTCTAACAAGTTCTCAGGTGATGCTGGTGTTGCTGGTCTTCAGACCTCTAGAAATCATTGGTTCTAGGGATTTCGAAGTTTTTTTCTTCGTTTTCATCTGGCCACACTAAATTTAGTACCCTCTGTTAAAAGTTGTGAAAGATTGGTTTTAAAAAAATCTAATAATTTTCTATGCTGATATAGTACATCTAGTACATGCCGATCCCACACTGAAGATATCCTGGACTCAAAGATTAGATGAGGCCGGATGTGGTGGCTCACACCTATAATCCTAGCACTCTGGGAGGCCGAGGCAGAAGGATCGCTCAAGGTCAGGAGTTTGAAACAAGCCTGAGTAAGAGCGAGACCCTGTCACTACTAAAAATAGAAAGAAATTAATTGGCAAACTAAAAATATATAGAAATAATTAGCTGGGGATGGTGGCTCATGCCTGTAGTCCCAGTTACTTGGGAGGCTGAGGCAGGAGCATTGCTTCAGCCCAGGAGTTTGAGGTTGCTGTGAGCTAGGCTGATTGCGCAGCACTCTAGCCTGGGCAACAGGGTGAGACTCTGCCTCAAAAAACAAAAAAGATTAGATGAACACAGTAGCTGAGGAACTCTGGAAACAAACTAGAAGGGATAAGCTATCACTATAGAATAAGCTATTTTTCACAGGCTTTCCATGTTCTCTTTAGTCTTCCTATTTCAAACTAGAGGAACGATTTTATATGGCCCCTTTCATACAGGACCAGTGTGACTCAGCATGTAACTCGATGACCAGAACACGTAAATTAATATTTATTATTATATTAATTGAATGGCCCAGAATCACTAAGAGCTCTTAGAAACCTATGTACATTTTCTTTCCCAATACATATTTTTCATTGCTCTAACTTGGAAGCATATCCATTTTATACTGCTTTTTTTTAATGCTAATAAAGTTTAAACTTTAGATATTTATAGCATGGCATAAATTCTGAAAAATGTGCATGGTATATTCTCTATGTCTAGATATCTATTCTACCAGTAAGTCAAAATATCAAGTATACTAAAACTGATTTTTAAACAAATACACAATGGCATATATGGTCAAATGAGAGCTGTCCTTCAGACTGTTCACCTTCAGAAACTATGAGCTTACTCCATTGTTCAAAATGATTTTTAACACATTAACTGCCATGTGAGTTGTATTTAACTCATGCTAGTTTTGAGACTGGGGCCTCATGAAGCATATGTAACTCTTAAGTCTCTTTACTTTGGGAGCCACATGGTGGGCAAGCAACTCACACTGTCATATTATAGCATACATGTTATGTGATGGGTGGCCCCTGAGCAAAACCCTGCAGGTGGTTTGTGAAAATCTTGTATTTTTATTATTACAATTAATATTGACAATTTAATTCTAAAAATGTGGATTAAATGAATAAAAGTCAATAAATTCCATTTTTCTATTTATGTTTACCTTTAAATTGCATGTAAGCCTGACAAGTCAAGAAAAACACTTTACCCTTATGAACTACTTTTTAAGTTTTCATATTACTTCTTATATTACTAATTTTCAAGTTTTTATATTTTTTATTAAAAAACAGAAAACAATAAAAATAATAAATTTGTCATTAAATTAGAAAGGATCATTTTATTTTTGAAGTTTTTATACCACTTTCATAATAAAACACTGTGGACCCAAGGAAAAAATTTTTTTTCTAGTGTGACAGTCAATGTATTAAACTACTTCCCTGAAATTGCTTTGGGCATCCATTTATAAGTCATATTAGAAAATTGATACCTTAATTCAAAAGTATACCTTGTTTTCCACAAAGAGCAGGATTAATACAACTAAATCACCCAACTTTCTGATCAGATTAACAAAAAATATGATACTTAGCTATTTCCAAACATCAAAACTTACATCAGAAAATAAAGATTCTGTAGACTTTATTGAGGGTAGACTTTACTGAGGGTATTGAAAAAAACCAAATTCACCATAGATTAAGTAGACAAATTCCAAAGATAGTAACTAAAAATGTTTTGCAGAATGATAGGCATTTTTGAAATAAGTGTATGGGTCTGTCAAGGTATAATTCAAATAGACTCTTCCACAAAGTTTTCCTTCATCTTCCTCCCCCATCCTCTAGATTGGAAGTAATTTCATTTTTCTTTAGACAGAAACTATTGCTTATCCGTACCTTTCTGATGATAGTAACTTTTAGTAGAATTATGATTTTTCATCTAAACTACAAAATCATTCAAGATCTCCTTTTATCAATTAACAAAGTGCCTTAAATATATTATTTCATTGGTAGGTATTTATTTCAGGCACTGTCAATATAGCAGTGTAAAAGGTAGAAGAAATGTGGATCAGTAGCCTCAGCATTGCCTGGAAACATCTTAGAAATACAAAAATTTGGGCCCTACTCCAAATCTATTGCATCAGAAACAGAAGTCTCTTTTAATAAGCTTTTCAAGTAATTCTAATGCAGGCTAAAATTTCAGAACCACTTCACTACCAGGAGATGATCATAGCATGGATAGCATAGGTAGGTAGGTATCATAGGTAGATAGATATATAATAGGTAGTTAGGTAGGTAGATAGATAGATGCTTTGTCTTCATGTCTATTTCCTCAGCAGCTGGGATAGAGCTTAGCACAGGTGAGTGCTCATTATATATTTATTGAATGAATAATAGGAAGTGGCCTTAACATTTGCTAATTCTCAGACCATTCATTTTACCCAGGAGGAAACCTGTGGCCTTAGATAACATGCCCCAAATCAAAGAGAAGACCAGTATCCAGGACTCCTGCCATTTTATTCCTAGGTCAGGGATAGCTCTTCAGGTTACTGTTTGATAAAACAGATATGTAATAAAGTACATAGAGATGAAAGAGAATGGTAAGGTCTAGATCATCAAGGAAGGCTTTCTGATGGAAATGGGATCTAGGAATGAGTTATAATCTGATGTAGATAAACACAAAATGAAGAAAATAAGCCAGGAGCCAGTCATAGCCAAGATAGGAAATTGGGAACTGTTGTTTTTGATGGCCTCAGAGGAAACCAATAAAAAGTTGATGAGTAGTGTGATAAAAGATTGGCTTTGGGACAAATTATCAAAGGTTTTGAAGATCAGGTTCATAGATCTGAACTTGATATGAGAGTCAGTAGGCTTTCTTTT